TATCTGCCAGATCTATGAAAGAGGGAAGAATTTTTGACCAAATAATAGATAGCATTACAAAATATAAAATGGATAATTTTGATTCTATTAGATTTAAAAGTTTTTGCATAAACAAAACAAATGCAACCAGGATTATAAAGAAAACAGAAAGCTGGAAAACATTTTTTTTTTTTACTGCAAATGTATCTGATAAAGGCTTCATTTCTCAAATATATAGAGAACTGAGTCAAATTTATCAGAATACAAGTCATTCCCCAGTTGATAAATGGTCAAAGGATATCAATAGACATTTTTTTCAGATGAAATCAAAGCTATAATCACATGAAAAATGCACTAAATCACTATTGATTAAATAAATGCAAATTAAAATAACCCTGAGGTAATACTTCAAACCCATCAGATTGGCTAATATGACAGAACAGGAAAATGATAAATGTTGGAGATGATGAGGGAAAACTGGGACACTAATGCACTATTGGTAGAGTTGTGAAATGATCCAACAATTTTGAAGAGCAATTTGGAAATGTGCCTAAAGGCCATTCCAATTGTGTATACCCTTTGACTCAGTAATGCCACTATTAGGTCTATAACCAAAAAGATCATAAAAAAGGGAAAATGGCTTATATGTACAAAAATATTTATAGCAGCTCATTTTATGAGGGCAAAGAATTGGAAATTATGGGGATATTTATCAATTGGGGAATGGTTGAATAAATTGTGGTATATGATTGTGATGGAACTCTATTGTGCTGTAAGAAATGATGAGCAAGATGGTTTTAGAAAAAAACCTAGAAAGACCTACATGAACTGATAAAAGTGAGATCAGTGGAACTAGAACAATGTACACAGTAACAACAACACTGTAAGATGATCAATTATCAATAATTTAGCTCTTCTTAGCAATGCAATGATCCAAGACAATTCCAAATGACTCATCATGGAAAATATGATTCACATCCAGAGGAAGAACTGATGGAATCTGAATGTAGATAAAAATATATTATTTTCATTTTCTTTATTTTTGTGTCTATTTCCTTTTGGTCTGTTTCTTCTTGCACAACATGACTAATATGGAAATATATTTTACATCATCACAAATATATAACCATTTAATATTCTTGGGAATAAGGGAGGGAGAAAATTTGCAACTCAAATTTTTTTTAAAAATGAATGTTAGAAATTCTTATTACATATAATTGGAAAAAATAAAATACTATTTAAAAAGTAAAAAAAAAAGAAATAAAAGTAGGTGGCCTAGCAGTACCAGCTCTCAAACTATATTTCAAAGTGATGATCATCAAAACAATCTGGTACTGCCTAAGAAACACAGTGGTGCTTCAGTGGAATAAATTAGGTACACAATACAAAGTAGAATATGACCATAGTTCTCCAGAGTTTAATAAACCCAAAGATCCAAACTTTTGGGAGAAAAACTCACTATTTGACAAAAATTTCTGTAAAAACTGGAAAACAGTTTGGCAGAAACTAGATATAGACCAATATCTTACACTCTATATTAATATAAGGTCAAAATGTGTACATGATTTGGATATAAAGGGTGATACTGTAAGAAAATTAGTGAAATATGGAAAAAATTCACCTGTTAGATCTATGTATAAGGGGCAAATTTATGACAAAAAAGAGACAAAAACAATCACGGGGTGTACAATGGATAATTTTGATTACATAAAATGAAAAAAAAAATTGTAGCACAAACAAAACCAATGATGCCAATACTAGAAGAAGAAAAAAAGGCAGGAAACTGGTGGTGGGGTGGATTAAAACAAGTCTCTCCTTATTTTTCAAATATTTAAAAAATGAGTCAAATTTATAAGAATACAAATCATTCTCCAATTAATAAATGGTTAAATTATATGGACAGGAAGTTTTCAGATGAAAAAATAAATAATGCATTTTTAAAAATGAAAGAAAAATAAAAGAAATCAGAAGCAGAGATGAAAAGTAAGACGGGATGATAAGTTTAGGGAAAATAACTCATTTAGGTATAATAGAATATTTATGATTGAAAGTAATATGGAAAAATATGGATAAAGCATCTATAGTAAAATAGTTTTAAAATATCATAAAATCCTATGAGCAATGTGCACAACATAGGTAATAGTAAAATGTAGGATAGCTCAACATTGGTCTCTTATTTTATCAATTATGTACATGTGAATTAATCTACCTGCTAGATCCACTGTATCTCACACTAATATTATTTTACTCTCAGTGGCAACTAACTAAAGTTCATATGAAATGTCCAAGAATAAGTGACCTAAACCCCTAGGATTCTCCTTGAAATCTCAAGCCTATTTAGTGAGAAAAAATGTATAAAAATCCTATAATCTTCCTTAACAAATCCCAACTGATATGAAAATGGTTCCTTAAATTCATAAGGACAATAGTATCCCCATAATCTGAAGAGGGAAACAACTGATTTGGCAAGTTCTAGGCCATAAAATGGGTGCTCTTATTCTTTGTCCTGTAATCATTTTCCTCAATGATGCAGCAGCAGCAGCAGCAGTATAGTAATAGTAGCATCATCAGCAGTGATTTGCTTTACGTGACTATATAGTTTATTCATTTGACACAGAAAATTCATTACCTTCCATTTATATTTATAGCTATTATATTTCCATCCTATCTCTCCAACAGGATTGTAAGCCATCCAGGGGTCTAACTTCTATCTTCTGGTATAACAATAAGCCTACCAACTTGGAAATATCAGTTCTGTTAGTATTTATGGTAGTGGTGGTGATGGTGCTAATAGAAATAATTTTAACATTTGTGATGACAGCAAAACTAAACTAAATTAATCAATAAAGAAAAAAAATAAAGTATCTGACTCGTATTTTTCCATCTCCACTGCCTACAGAACTCCCTCAAAAGAAAAACTAGTTGGATTGTGATCTTGTTAGGAGTTTCATCATACTTTCCAAGAATGTCATATACTGGCTGAGCTCTGAATGAACAATTTACTTTGTGAACACTACCGCCCTACACAGATCCTCTGTTAGGGATTTAGTGCCCTGGGGAACTCTTTTAAACCAACATTCCGTATCATACCTACCATCATTAAATCACCTTGAGAGATGATTTCACCAAGCCAAGTCAGATTTTGTCTTTCAATACTAAGACACCCATTCCTGTTACTCTTTGAAATAAAAGTTTTTATAACTATCACTGAATATCAAAAAGTCTTGATACTACCTGGTTTTGTGACAGGATAATAGCTCATAGACTTAAAACTAGAATTTTAGGGGCCATTTAATTCAACTTTTCAATTTACAATTGAGGAAACTAATGTCAGAGATGTTCAGTGATTTACTCAAAGTCATATAGATAACTTTTTTGTTTTGTTATAAATACGTTATGTACAATTCAAAGATAACAGTAAAAACTTGTTATAGAAAATATATTAAGGTTTTATATTATTCATATAAAATAAGTGAACACTTTAAAGAAACATTTCTCCATCCTGAGAACTCTTTTTGAATGGTTATTATTTTCTTCCCACCAGACTGGTCATATCAGCACATGTTATAGTGCAAAGAAGCATCATTTTTTTTTAGGCTGTTGGGATTAAGTGTAGCCCATGGTCACACAGCTAGTAAGTGTCAAGTGTTTGCTCTGAGGTCAGATTTGAACTCAGGTCCTCCTGACTTTAGAGCTGGTGCTCTATCCACTGTGCCACCTAGCTGCCTCAAAGCATCATCTTTACTACCAGTTCAATTATCTTATTTCAATTAAAGAGGAAATGCCTGATCAATTTCAGGTAAGTCAAAGGGAATTGTTTCCTGAAATAATTTGGCATTGAGATGATTAGCAGAGGTCACAAAGAAATCTATCTCAATCCTGGCAAAAAAAAAAGGTTGATCAGATGAGCCTGTGGATGCCTCAACTTCTGCCTCCTGAGACCCACAGGAGATGGTTATGGGTTCTTTTCTGCTCCACCCCGGAGAGGTAACATCTAATCCTAAAGCAGGAAGTAGATGCTCACTATGGTGAATGACCCATTTAGTACAGGATTTGACTCCTATATGGGATCCTTTGGCTCCACTGGGCAGTTGTCATTCTAGGTCTCACAGTGGCAGAGCACTGATTTAAAATGAAGAAAGGTTCTATGAGTTCAAATCTGATCAAAAGGTAAAAGAATAGTGAGACTAGTGGTCATGTAATGTATGGATCAATTGAAAGATTCAGATACATTTATCTAAAGGAAGAAAACTTATGGGATATTATAATAGGTGTGTTCAAGTGAAGTTGAGTGGAAAGAGCATTGAAACTCAAGTCAAAAGATGTGGGTTCAAAAAAATCCCGACTCTACCACATAGTAACTATGATTTTGAGCAAGATATTATTATCTTTTATAAGACTAAATCTCTCTCTCTCTCTGTCTCTCTGTCTCTCTCTCTGTCTTGCTCTGGGTGTGTGTGTGTGTGTATTCTTTATAAATCCAGCATCATGACCAATGCTGAATACATAGCAGACACTTAGGAAATGTTTAATGATCAACATATGCTCAAAATATTTAGTGAGCTCCTACAAGTAAAAAGAAAAAATAGATTTGCCTTTTCTGATCATAGATGACTAGGAACAATGCATAGGAGATAGAGGGAAGCAAATTTCAGTTGTGCCTCTGACACAGACTGAGCATGTGATCTGGGTCAAGTCATTTATTCTCTCTGTACCAAAGACAGCTGTTTAAGATTATATGTTGTAGAATACATCTGACCAGCATTAGTAGAGAGAATTCACTTATTACCAATTCACTATATCAATTAAATCAGAAGTTTGTTTCCCCTAAAATGTGCCTGCCCACAGTTAGCAAGTTCCCAGATTAAACAGCCTCATGAAGTCAACCCAACCAATACTGGTACATTTTTCATGACCAGAGGGAAAAATTAACTAATGGAAAATGTGAAGGACTTGCCCATGTGAAATTTTATTCTTTGTGTCCACATTGTCTCCCCCAGAGACTGGATCTATGATATCCTTTAGAACTTTGGAGGGCTTAGAATTTGGAGGAATCTTTCCCGTATCCTCTTTGTCATTACCCCATAGATTATGGGATTCAGCATAGGTGGAACCAAAAGGTAAATGTTAGCCACAAAGATGTGGACATGGGGAGGAACATGGTGACCAAATCTATGAGTGAGGAAAGAGAAGAAAGCTGGAGTATATCCAACTAAGATGGCACACCCATGAGAGCCACAGGTGCCCAATGCCTTAAGCCGGGCAGCCTTTGAGGGGAGGCAGAAGACAGCATATAGAATAAAAATATAGGAACAGATTATCAATATGAAGTCCAGACCCCCAGTAAGAAAAGCAACCATTAGACTATAAGCTCTACGGACTCTGGTTGGGGCACAGGCCAACTTAATCAGGGCCATGAATTCACAATAGGTGTGAGAAATGATGTTGGTCCTGCAATATGGAAGCCATTTCAAGAGAAAGGGATGAGGGCTGAAGAACACAGCTCCTCGGAGGACAATAGCCAACCCAATTCCCACAATGACCTTATGAGTCAAAATAGTTGAGTGTCTTAAGGGTTTGCAAATGGCCACATAACGGTCAAAGGCCATTGCTAAGATGAAACCAGATGCCATGCTGGACATGGAATGGATCAGGAACACTTGTATGAGGCAAGCTTCAAAGGAGATTTCCCTGTTTTTGAACCAGAAGAGACTGAGGAGCTTGGGCATGGCAGTGGTGCAAATAATCAGGTCAGCAGCTGCCAGCATGCAGAAGAAAAGATACATTGGCTCATGAAGTCTGGGGTCAGTCTTGATGATGAACAGAAGAGACAAGTTTCCCAAAAGAGCCAGCATGTATACAAAGCAGAAGGGAATGGAGATCCAGATGTGGAGAGTTTCCAGCCCTGGGATGCCAATTAGAATGAAGGTGGTAGGATGTAAATTGGTCCAATTCAAACCTGACATGGTGGGGGCTGACAGTTGATTTTTGTCTAAGGTAGGGTATTACTGTACCTTTAAAATAAAAAAAAAAATCAAGAAGAGGTCAAGTTACAAAAAAGCATCATTTGAGGAATTGAGAGCTTAGCAAATGGATAGCTATCTATCAAGTCATCTATCATCTCTCTCTCTCTCTCTCCATATATATATATATACATATATATATGTATACACATATATGTGTATCACACATCTGTAATGCAATTGTGTTTGTCTCTATGAACAACCTATCATCTATTATTTATCTATTTACCATCTCTTAGTCATCTATCAATTATCTAGCTATATATCTTTATGTCTTTCTGCTTTATTTAGCCTCATGCCTCCATTTAAGCAATGACTTAGGTTCAGAAATTTATAGAGTATTGGTACTCTGGAAGTTGATATGAATCTGAGCTTTATTGTGCATTGAAACAAACAGGTGAATGAATGGATAGAGTCATCCAACATGATGGGGAGGGTGATATGTCAATAGGAAAGATGATCAAAGGTGGTGTTTGGAGGTGAAATTATATATGCTAAGAATGGGCTTGGTTGAGAACAGGCAATTGGTGCCAGACATGAGAGGGAGTATTCTCAATAAGACCCAATTGTGATATAAAAAATTTTTGAATTCAATTATTGATAGCAAGGTTGGGTGAAGTTTCATTAGGCAAAATTTCTTAATTGGGATCACAAACGGGGGAAGGATCTAATGTCAACTCTCAAAGGCAGCAGAAGAAAAGACTAGCTGAAAGATTGTCTATGAAAATATTTTCCCAATTTTTTCATTCCTTCCATTCCTGGTTACACATGTTTTATTTATAAAAGAAAATTTTAATTTAAAATAATCAAAATACTCCTTTGTATACTGCAATAATGGTTTCACCTTATAATATAGTTTAAGGTCTGATATACTGAATCTACTTCCTTTACATCTTTTTTCCCCTGGTTTCTTTGAAGTTTCTGTCCTTTTGTTCTTCCAAATAAACTTTGTTATTATATTTTTTCTAACTCAGTAATATTTTTAGTAATTTAATTGGAATGACATTGAATAGATTAGTTAAGTAATATTGTCATAAAGAATTATATTGCCTTTACCTTCCATAAACAATACATATTACTTCAATGTTTCTTTTTTCTTTTCTTATCTTGTATTTAAGTTTAAAATACCAAAAAAATGTTGAATCTATAAACTATAAGGTACTGAGTTGGCAAAAAAGCATATTTTAGATTCATGTAAAGGGAAAAACCCTCATCAGTTCAATGGTTCAAAAAGAATGGATACAAACTTTCTTCAGTCTGGATTCTTCACTATTAAACTGAAATTGTTCTCTTCAAATCTCCTAATTGCTAAATTTATTGGCATTTTCTCAGTCTTGATACTTCTTGTCTTCTAAAAGTTCCTTTAATATTATCAGTTACAGTCTCCCATTGAATACTCTCTCTTCTAAATTTCTATTGCATTATTCCATCCTGATTCTTTTTCTGCCTGTCTGATTATTACAATTCAGTCCTTTCTGAGGACTTTCCTTTCCTGGATCTTTCTTCAGATCATGCCACCTAAACTTGATTATCCTCTAAGGGTTTATATTCAGTCCTTTTCTCTTTTCCCTCTATATTATCTCATTAAAAAAAAAGGAAAAACAACTCATCGAAAGCTTTCAGCCAGAGTATCTAATTGAGCTTTCACTTAATTGAGCACTTAGTCTTAACAAAATCAGGGAAAACAAGAGGAAGAGATTTAGGAGAAGAACCATTCCAGGTGTGATTAGTTTAAAGGAAAAGTGTCATGTATGAAGAAAAGCAAGTGGACCAGTGGGATAGGTTCAGTATCTACTGAGAAGGGAATTACAATTTTTGTATTGATCAATATGATATATGTAATGAATATACTAATAATTTAGTTTTCTCAAGAACTGCCTTTCTGGCTGGGAAGTCAGAGCTCATAATGAGGCTGAAATTGATTAATCAAAACTCTAACCATGCTTACAATAACTAGACCTTAAGTGAAGCAAATCAATGATTGTAGAACCTGTTCCCTTCACAGAACTCTGGTTCTGTGCTCCAGGGGAGGTGGTCATGACCCCCAAAGACTTGACTCCAGAATTGTATTGTGGGATTTGTGGGTTTCTCGTGGGAAACTACTAAACTGATTGTTTGTAATCTACCTTCCTCCCTCCTTTCCCACTTGTGATTTAAGTATATAACCTGTGTTTTTACTTCAGCTATGAAAACATCTCTCACTCTGAAATTGATTAAACTACTTGATTATTGACCAAAAAAAATCTCACCAGCAACCAGAGTTTCAACTTTTACCTCTATACAAATAATTCCCAAGTCTATATATTTAATGCTAATCTCCCTACTCTCATATTATCAACTGCCATTTAGACATCTTGAAATGAATGTTCTATAGCCATCTCAAACTTACCATGCCAAACAAGAACTTGCAAAAACGCTTCCCTATTGGAAACATTCTTATAACTTTTGAGGGCATCACTATTCTCCCAGTCACCTAAGTTCACAACCTTGATGTTGTGCTTGACTCCTCACTTGCATTGACCCCAAATATTCTATTTGTAATCAAATCTTCATCCATTCTCTCAAAAGTTCTTGTATATGTTCCCCTCTCCCCATTCATATGCTTACCTTTTTAGTTTGGAATCTCATCACCCCATACCTAGAGCATTAAAAAAAAAAGGCCTTGTCATTAATTCCTCTGCTTTCTACACACCAATCCATCTTCCACTGGACTCCCAAAATGATTTTCCTAAAGCACTGTGTGAACACATTGCTATCTTATTCAATAAACTTCATAAGATCCCCATTATCTTCATGATCAAATTTAAAACAATTCATTTTATATTTATGTTTTAAAGGGATTTGAAACCCCTAAAAACCTGGCTCTTTCCTATCTTTACAATCTTCTTTTACTTTGCTGTTCTACACAGTCTATAATCCAGCTACAATGATATAATTTATGTCCTGTATATAGCACATTCCATCAGCAATCTCTGTGCCTTTGTTCTTTCTCTCATAAATCAAAGCTCTCCCACCTCATTTCTGCCCACCTACTCTCTTACTCCTCACATCCTTAGTTTCTTTAAGTACACAGCTCCAATCTCACCTTTGCTAGCAGGCTTTTCCTCCATTGTCTCTCTTCTCCAACTCCTGTCACCTTGCTGTGAGATTTTCTTGCATTTATACTGTATATAACATATATAAATGCATAGTTATTTGCATTTAGTCTCCACCATTACAATGTGAGCTGCTTGGGAAAATGGAGTGTTTTTGCCTTTTATTGGTTTTTGGACCTTTACTTCAGTGCTTCGCATATCATCTGCCCTTTCTAAATGCTTATTGACTACTTCTCAAGGAAGTGAAAACATCTTCACTGAAGTTTCTGTCAATCACAGCAGAGGAGAAAATCACTGAAGTCATTGACTAGCAACCACACTCTTACTCCAGGTCATGTAAGCCTTCTGTTTTGAGACAAGACTATTAAATGACGCCCAGAGTGTGGTGAAAGAGTTCCAAGGAGATTCCATTGTTCACTATGAATCTGACTTCCTGAGCTCAATTTCATAAACCTGAATTCCTTTCTTCAAAGAGTCTAGAGATTGAACTAAAACGAACTCAGTAATCTGGGACATGAGAAATGAAAGGATACTTGTCCTCTTGTTACATATGGTAAAACAGAAGTGTGGAGCAATATATCAGCTGGCACCAGAAAGCTGTTAGGTGGTGTTATGGATAGAGTACTGGGACTGGAGCTGGAAAGACTTGAGTTCAAAGATACTTACTACTTGTATAATTCTGGACAAGTCATTTAATTTCTGTTTGCCTCATCTGTAAAATGGAGATCATAATAGCACCTGCCTCACAGGGTAGTTATGAGGATCATAAGAGATAGTATTTGTAAAGGACATAGTCAAGTGTTTGACACTTAGTAGGTTCTTAATGCATATTTATTTTCTTCCTTTCTTCCAGAACCAGAGCCAGCTTTACAAGTATCTGTGAAGTTGGCAACTGTTTTGTGGTTTGATTGGAGAGGCACAGAACAGTACACCTCGCCTTTTCTCTTGCACAACCAGCCATTTAGCTTAAAATTCATTGGTTTTAATGATTAAAATATAATTGTTCTCAAAACTGTGATGCCCCAACTTTGCCTCCATGTAAGAAGTAAATATCCTTTGCCAAACCTTTTAGGAAATATCCTTTCCCTTTATACTCTGGACAATCAAATTTAGCATGATACAAAGAGTTAATTGACCCCATATTTCCATATGAGAGTTTGTGTCTTAATCTAGTTTGCTCCTCTGTAGAGTAGATGGACCATCACAATAGCACCTGGCTACAACTCTGTTGTGAGAAAAAAATGTTATGGAAACCTTAAATAATAGCTGACATTTCTATAGCAACTTAGAATGTGCCACATACTATGTTAAGTATTTTACTACTTTCTCATTCGAGTCTCACAACAACCCTAGGAGGCAGATGCTATTATTTTTCAAGTTTTACAGATGAGGAAACTGAGATAAACAAAGGTTAAGTGACTTCTCTAGGGTCAGATAACTAGGAAGTCTCTGAGACTGGATTTGAACTCAGGTCTTCCTGATTCTAGGCCAGGTATTTTATCTACTGTGCTACCTATTATTTCAAAATACTAAATGAATGCGAACTCTTACTATTTTGCATTCATCCAACAGGCAGTTATTGAGAGACAGGTAGTGGGATAGCAGAAAACCCATCAAAACTGTAGTGACTAAACCTCAGTTGGAATTCTGACTCTACTACTTAATATCTGGGTGTTCAACAACCTTATTTGAGTCTCATTTGTCCTTATTTGTAAAATGAAGAGTTTATACTATAGGAAAACCTTCATAGACCCCTTATGGTGATAGATGTCTGATCTAATGGTCCTATCGTGTGCAAATCACTGCATTATGTAGAATCTAAAGCAGCATTAAGAAGGCATAAACAAT